TGTCAGCGGGGATGAGCACCGACCCTTGGCTTGTTCGAAGAGGGAGACAGAGTTGGCTTTGCCCGCGATCGCATTGCGTAAGATACATCGTTCTGTACCGACCATTGTATGTTTGTCCTGATCAAATACGACCCTGACACCGGTTGTATATTTGGATTTGGCATGTCTCTCTCCCTGTGGTCGCGTGGATTTTCCTCTCGGTCCTCCGGCATTTCCCTCCACATTTAGAATCAACATGTGTTTAGAGTATTTGGTTGAAATACATTTCCACGTGATAAGCCACTTCGTTGAGGTATCGTTAGTGGCCAGGTCGCTTTTTTAAAAAGCTCTGCAGCTCAGTGGGCCTTACCTGTTAAATTTGTATTTTTTATAATATGGATCTTGAATAAAAACCTCAGTGTTAAATTCAATAAACGTGTGTAGACTTTCAATCCTGACATATTTAGTTCTCACCACCAGCATATCGGTTTTTCCAAACCATTATGACCGACCAGCGTTTGCTTAAAGAAGCAAATTCTTGACCCGTTTCAGCACCCAGAGGCAGACTTGTGGGCCAAAGACTGCTGAGTTGCCAGACGTTGATGTTATGTTATTGGCTAACACAGGTCATCATGAGTTGGAGTCTGGGGGGAGCAAAACTAGAAAACAAACAAACCTCACACATATATTTTTATATTTTCCGACAACTAAAATTGATTTACAATATGTGTTTTTATTACCTAGGCCTTGTGAGAGTTTGAATCTTGGAAGACTTCCACATACTAAAAGAAGGAACATTAATGATTGGAATTGCGTAGTTGGTTTTAGGACTGTAGTTAAGGGGCATATTATGGCATACACTGTATAATGGATAAAAACGTGTATTCAGCAAATTTATTTCACCATTTGATGGAAATTAATAATATAAAAATGTCAGCTCTTTGTCAATCCACTGCTGGATGATGGTCGTCCCGCACCTTGTCCGTTATACGAGTTTTTAAATCAAATTTCACTACGCTGGTCAGTGCCAATATTAATGTATATTGAACTTATTTTTTGCACCCTAAGTAGCCAACCGTGCGAATCGGAGGTGCGGGGAAGGACAACAAATCGGAGGTGCAGGGAAGAACAATAAAAATGGACTTACCCCTCGGACCAGTTCAGAAATCACTCGTCACTGACGTGAGCCATGTCTGGGAATCAAACTCGGGCGACCAGCTTCATAGCGCGGTGCCTGAACGACTGTGCAAACGCAACACCCTCCCTCCATGCACATGAGCAATGTCGAATATCCGCACACCCATTGGTATTCTGTCCTAGGCTCCCACCCTTGCCCTCGACACTGGCGATGCTGCAGTTGATGTGATTGTCTCGTTATCTGACGTGTCGCAAATAATTTAGGACTTTCTGAAGCAGACTGCCAAGACCTCGGCGTTAGTGCCGGGCCATAATTTACGTGACCACGCTACTGCCTCTGTTCTGGGCATAGTTATCAGCAGCAGTTAAGAGCGTCGTCAGGTTTTGCTAAGAGTTCGTTAAAATGCATGCCAATGTTTTAAACGGCCTAAAGTTAAACGTGCAAATAGGACACTCCTCTAAAAGCCAACGTTGATTTTTGTGTATACAATCGCCCAATATTTTGCCACTTTACTTGTTTGAAGTTGATTGGAATGTCGCATGTGGTGGAGTATGGTGTGGCGACTCCAATCTCTTTTATGTCTGGTCAGCGTGGAAGAGTAGGTCGGTATACCCTCTTGGAGGGCTATCTGGAGCTCCCTGTAGTGGAAGTCCTTCTGCTAGGAGTGGCATGAGCAAGTCATGGCAGGACTGCACCTTTAACTGTCATTTAGCGTGGTGTTCAGACTAGAATGTTGGATAACTGCTGAAATTAGTAGGGTATTATAAATTACTTATATTCTGTTCATGACGAGCACAAACCAATTTTTTTAAAATTGATATAGCGCAATGCTATGGTCTGCCTAGTTCAGTATTCTAATTGTTTCCTTTTAGAGACTTTTTTTAGGATACCTCCAGACCAAGTTGTTAGCTCTATTGATTTTTCAACAATGATATTACAGCACGAGGTTAAGGTACCAGCTCTGCATCGCATGTAGCGGCGCCCCGGTGCCGAGATGTTATCTGCCTCACCGATTATGTAGCTGATCGTGGGTTCGATCCAGACCCTAACGCCTGTGTATTTAGAGTTTGCGTGTTCTCCCCGTGTTCTCCCCGTATTTCTCCCCGTGTTGGGCTGCTATACATTTTTACGTGATAAGCCACTTCGTTGAGCTACCATTTATGGTAACTAGGTTACTTCTGAAAAATAGCTATATAGCTCAGTTGGCTTTACCTGTTAAAATAAAAAAAAGTTCAGTTTTAGTTACATTTTAATATGTTGAACTTCTTACACAACGTACGTAGCCAACCACGGCCACATCAAAGCTGGCAGAAAGGCCTCCACGAGCGAGAGCTATAGAGAACACCTGCAGAGGTTATTTTGCCGACTCCTCCACACTCACCAGACGTCTTGAAGGAGGTGAGAGTGCCCACATTTTACCTGTCGATCGACTAACTGCAGCGTACTCATTTAAATTGCTTGGTGGACAGTGGTGGGGGTTGGATTAAGAAACTCGCACTGTTGTTTCAGTTGCCAAACTAAGAGGCTAAGAGATCGAATCGAACCGGTTACCTTTAGATCACAAGTCCAATGTGCCAACCATATCACAACCTAAAGGCTTCCATATGACAGCACATCTCACTAAAATGTTGTTCCGTACGAAAAGCTCGCATCTCAGACATTGCAAATAGAGGATTGCTATCTCCTGGCAGTCCCATCAATCAGTCTGAGTGTTGTCGGTGGCAGGTGTCTTGTAGTATCTGCGTCAAAATTATGCGACGCGTGCCCATGGACATGTCGAGTTTTCATTTGTGGCTCAAGAAAGTGCGGCTTTTCGTAATTAATTTTCGATGCGATCTCTCGCTGATGGGAAAGAGCACACCTCAGTGTTTGCATGCGGCGCACACGGTTGACCCCGGCCATTGGGCGCACCGTGGAAGATGTGCCAAGGGCGCCTTGGGGTAGTGTTTGTAGCACAGGTGTGTGCGGGAGAGTGTAGTGGTTAAATGCGCTATGAACCCGGTGACCCCCGAGTTCGATTCACGCTCGCGGCAGCCAACACCCCGTGACGATTATATGAATTGGTCCTGGGCCTCCCCGACGTCGACTCAGTCTCAAAATGAGTACCTGGTGCAATCTGTAAACATCGCCACTGAGGAGACAAAGGCGACCGCGCATGGTGTGTGCCAGCCTTCATAGGTGCTCGCCAATCAGTACATGCCCCAACAGTATGTTAAGGCTATACGGGGATCTTTGTCTTTGTATGAATATAAGTCTAAATAGGTTTCTGATTATTGAGGCACAGAGCACAATATGTATATGCCACAAACCCCTTGAGGCAACAGAGCTATTTATCACCGAGTAGAGTGGCCTAAAACTGACATTATAGGCCGTTCCTTTATACCTTCACATTTTCCTACTCGTCCTGCAAAGTTGTGGTCCTCTGCATTGGTGCCAAATGTGATCTGGCCCCCAAAACGTCCGCATGGCTGGCACGGATAAAATTTCGATTTAAAGCTTTCGTGACTGCAGGGATTCATCTTCTGGGTTCTTTCGGTAAAGTCACGTAGAAGGGAATTAATAAAATAATAAAATAATAAAAATGAAACATAATAAAATATTGTATTATGTTTTATTTTTAATATTTTATTATTTCCCTTCTACGTGACTTTACCGAAAGAACCAAGAAGACGGATACAATTCTTACAACAATTTTCTTCTCTGTCAGGCCCGAGACCATGCTACTCGCTGCATAAGGGAACTTTTACTTATTTTGGGTGTAAGTTTAGGATCCAAGGGCAGTGTTTGGTCAATATTGTGTTATAGACTCAGCATTAGCCGCATGTGCCATCCAGCCACCCCGTAAAACAGTTTAAGTCATGCCGCCTGGAGACCTGTTTGACTTTACCAATAACATTCTGGGGTTTAAACATGTACCTCGTCGATATGCTGTAATATAACCCTAAATGTGATGTGAAAAATGCACCATAATATAGGTTTTAAATATAAATATTAATTCCAACTTGTAACGCGCACAATATCCATTCAGTCTCGAAGACACGAGGAACCACAATCAGTAAGGCAGCCACGTGATGAGCCGATGTCAACAATTTCCCTCGAAATTAACACTATCCCCATGCAGATGGAACAGGTGGAGTCCACACTTTGCTGTACTGCCTTCTCCTGGCAAGCCAGGGCACGGCAGCTCGGCACCCATGGGAAGGAAGTTTCACAATATGCCTGTGATCCATAAACCCTTGCCTCCACAGTGCTGGATTACTGACGTGCATAGCCACCATCGCCAATACTCATGAGGAAAAACAAGAAATTGGACTTTCAGTCATTTTATGTCATTGTGGTTTTGGTAAAATGTGAAGGTTAATGGGGCATGGCCCTGATACCCACGTGCCATTTTTAAGCTTTTGCCACCGCAGGGAGTATTGTTTTGCCACTCTATGTATTGCATCGAACGAGGCCATGCCCTTGCACACTTGCACATTAGAAGAACAGCCATCTGCCATTGTTTTTTTTGTGATTGCTGTTGGGTGTTAAGACAAGTGAAACGTATTAAGTAATGCAGCTGTTTCAAGTCTGGCGACAATTACAGTTACGTAGAATTGCTGCACTGGTGAAACGACAGCATGAATACCATGGCGCTTGAAGTGTAGCAGCGGCGGTGATGATGCACCGAAAACAGAACTCTTATCATGACAGGATTTTCAAGTTGGTCACGCTGGCGGAGTTGGTTTATGCTGCGGGGATTGCGTGGAGAACTGCCAGTTACCGTGGCCGAATGAAGCTTTGTTGGGTATCCGTCTACTCTTAAGCATGGTGTGAATAGACTTTGAAAAACACCTTCAGTCTTTATCTGATATGATAAATGTGAAAAAGAACATTCTTGATTTTATTTTTCTAGGCTTATGAAGTCAGAATGTTGAACACATTTTAAATATACCAAAATTTGTTTAGAAGTGTTATTGCACTTTACTTACTTTTGCACCATGTGGACATGAATAAAGCAAAACAATAGCGTTGATTTGTAATTAAGTTTCTACTGGGTTAGATCGTGTAGGTATGCTTTTTTTTTACTAAAACCTTCCACCACCCGACGAAGCCAATCAAACCCAAGATAAATCCAAGTTCCCATGTGAAAGCCAAAGTATAAAATTTACACAAACGCCTTGTTTCTGTTTGGCTAGAATAGCTGGCAACCACGTTTCATTTATTGCACCCATGTCACAGCAGGAAAAGAACTCTCAGGTGAAAAAGTGGCTTCAATTTTTCCCGCGACAATGCAGATGATCGTTCTATGATGGCCACACATTATCGCTAACATGTAATTGTCCTGAGTTCCGCCATCAAGGTTGTGCATAATACAGTGAGACTTGTACAATTCCACCGCAGTTCGGCTGGCACGTCACATGCAATAACCCCAATTGAATACTTTCACTCAATTTCGCCTGTTACGATCGTTCTTTATTGAAATAGAGAAGATTGTTATGCTTTAGAATTGACAGAAAAAACGAGTGAGTCATGGTAGCAAGGTGGGAGGGAAGTAAGTGGGTGAGTTACTATTGCTTTTGGGCATTTACTGGAATATGATCCTGCAAACTCGCATCAGTTTATTGCCTGTACCCCAGCGTATGGGACAAGTGAAGGACATTTTTACGTTATTTTATTTTCAATAACCGCACACGTAGCTCCGCGGTGGCATGCTGCAAACGCCGGCTTTCCAAATTCTCCGAAACACAAGTTAGTGCTGCACTGCTTCAGCTGCAGAGTTACAAATGGAAAAGTCTTCGTCTTGTGACACGATGCTAATAGCGCCATTGGAATATAATTCGGGGGGAAAACATTGGGAGTAAAAACAACATTTAAAAATATTAAAATGTTTTTTTAATTGGACATTGTTTTTGTCTTAGAAAAGTTATGCTATCCACATGTCTACTTTATTTCTAACAATTTGGCACTAATAATAACTTAAACGAGTTGGCCTTTGGCCACATCTGCAGCATTAAAGGCATGCGTTGCTAACTGCATTCGATTACACTGGTCAACACACTTTTTCGGGCATAAGGTATTCCAACGGTTTTAAGGTAATTATGGGGTGCCGATTCCATATCTGGCATCAGTTTTTGTCTATCACATCAGGTTTTTGAGATATCAGATATTGCATTTTCAATAAAAACTGAGGAAGAAAAATATAAAATAAATGTGGATATCTACATAAAACGATATTATAAACACACTATCCTAAAAATACAGCACCATGTTTTAACACTAAAGCAGTCACTGACTCGCAACAACTTGCAATCATAAGTGACAGAGTTAATTTCGGGTAAAATCAATGAAAATGGGGTATGCCGATAGCATAAAAATGAGATGTGATAGAGCAAATCTGAGATCAGATTTGGAATTAGCACCCTGAAATTAGTCTAAAACATCTGCAAAAGTCCAGGCCAGAAAAAAAAGTTTTTTTTTAGTTGACCAGTGTTATTTTACCTGAAATCAACAGGCAAGTTCAACTTCCGTTGGCCCGGCCCCTTCCACTATAGACCCCACCCCTCCCCTTGTTCACGTTTTTGTTTGTTGCGGTTGCACCCGATTCAAGAGCCGCATGGCTCACAGGGCTATAACTAATAAATAAACTGAACTTAACTCCGACTATAGGCCCCTCCCCTTCCTCTATAGGCCCCAGACCTTCCAATGTAGGCCTTGCTCCTTCCCCCAGACAAAGACTTTGGCTGGTTTGGGTAGTGGTGAGGGCTGTGGAAAGGGAGGGAGTGTGCGTGCAGCAGTAGAATTGTGTCGGGAAAGTAGGGGTAGGGTGGTTTCACGACGACCAAAATCACTCTTAGAGCAGCAATATCATCGTAGACATTCTTAACTTCGCTCACGTGCTTTTGCATTTCACTCAGGTATCGCCTCGTACACCAGACAGTATTTGACGCATTCCCACTTAGCATGCGTTCAGGTCTGCTAACAGCAGCTGTTTCAGTCACGCTGCTCGGATACCTGATTTATCGGCTTCTGCCAACACTTAGTCCACTTACCAAACATAAACAGTCTCTGCTCGTCCCGGTAAAGACTCGTGTTCACTCCTGCAAGCATGTCCAGACGTGAGATTTAAATTCACATTTCTACAAAACAAAATATTTAAAGTGCCCAGGGCCATCAACATCGTGGTTAAACATGTCTCATCTCCACGAGCTACGTGGTACCTTCACATGCCCTCCTTTCCCTGCCACATGAGCCCTAGTTCCCCTTTTCCACTGGCACATCTGAGCCAAGCCAGCATGGAACCCCCACTCTATGGGTTGTTTTCCATTTAGCTATTTGCTATGCCGAGCTGGAACCAGACCATGATACTCAACCATTGTTTTAAAATTAAACTATTTTTAATTATCAGGTAAGGCCCACTGAGCTCTCTCTTCCAGAAGCGAAGTGGCTGATGGTGTGTACATTTAGAGCAGCCAAATACTCTACAGGCATGTTTCTAAATCTGAAGGGAAAAATGGGAGGACCCGGAGAAAAAAATCCACACTACCAAGGGGGGAACATGCAAACTCCAAATATACAACAGGCGTCAGGGTCGGGATCGAACCCATGGCCTCCTGCATACCAGGCGAGGTAATTAACCTTTCGCTGGGCTCACAAGATGTCTGAATCTGGCTTGGGGGCAAGCAGAGCCAGGGGCAAAGTTAAGTACACAGTGAGGATACAAAGCAATTAGCACAAAAATTTACCTGTGACTTGACTCGTTTATTGTGCATACGATCAGTGGCATGGCTCGGATGCAGTGGAAAAAATAACTTCGTTCTGCCTGAGCTGCACTGGGTTGGCTTGGCACGGCGCCCGTATGTTTCGGTTCCGTCGTGGAAAAGAGGTTATGAGTCTGAAGAGCACACCTTTCCAGGCATGTAGAAGTAGGATGGTGTACATGAATCGTTGAGAAGTTAAATACAAATAATTTCGTCAGTTTTTCTTCCCACAAGCAATGCTTTAAACAAAAACATTTATATTTAATTTGAATATCGCAAGAAAGTGCGCAATGTCACTGCTGACTGTTTGTGAAGGCAGTGGTCTGGACAAGCTTACAATCCGTCGAGATGTGACACTTCAGATACTCATCAAGGCGAACCTGGCTGCTGTGGCAAGGAAGAATAAATTACTCTTGGAGAAGAAACATGAGCTACAACATCGCTTGCCGATGTATTTTTCAGGTAAGTTACCGAATGTTGTTAAGGAATGATGTCCGGCGTTTCGCTCCATGCGCTGGGCAGCTTTGTATTCAGTTCCTGAAGAAGCTTCCAAGCACGTGGTGAGAAATGTCGGACATCTCGAGCCGAGCGAAATGCGGTGCACCACGAAAACACACTGGGGAGTTGTGCAGCACAACCAAAGACAAAGATCCCCCCTATAGCCTTAACAGACTGTTGGGGCAAGTGCTGTTAGCGTGTACCTACTACGGCCGGCACTGCACACGTGCAAGTGGGGGGGCCAGCTCCAGCTTTGTCTTCAGCTTTCCCTCCAAGTGGCGATGTTTACATACACATCACACTAGGAACTCATTTGAGGCTGAGTCGACCTAGCGGAAGCCCGGGATCGATTCAGATAATTAATCGTCACCGGTGTTGGCCGTGAGTGGAAATCGAACTCGGGTCACCGGGTTCGTAGTGCAGCGCGCTAACCGCGACGCCACCGTAGGCAGTATTGGCAACACCGTGGCCAAAGTGTGCATCTGTTTATGCTCAATTCCGTCCGTTGGCAGTGATGGCGGCTGTGTGGATGAGATTCTGGCAATCAGCCCCAACGCAAACAAAATCCCCCCGCTTGACTTCCTTTTTGGCCACTTCCACGACGCCATCAATTTAGCCATCGCGAAACGAGGCAATTTAAATGTGAATTGACCGATGCCGAAATAAGTGACGAAGCGAGGACAAACTCTTTCCCGGCTTCACGCGGAAACCCTGTGCAAGGTACATCGAAGTGGCCCGCGTTCTTTAACGTCACGCGACACGCGACTTCACGAACTTCCTTGGACACGTTTTGTGCAAAATTACAAAAACAAAATATCTCTCTCTGGCCTTGGTTGCCTGTTTTTTTGTTTGCATCGCATTTTGAATGCAACTGTACGCTGCGCAATAACAGCTCTCTCTTACTCGCTGTAGTTTCAACTCATGCCGGAGTTTGCTAATGAACAAAAAACTAAAATTACCTTCACATACCCTCGGTACGTTTTCTGTTTTTATGCGACTTAAACAATAAAAATAATATCATATACCAATCGTGTAATAGTGCAACATAAACTAAGTCAGCATCACCCAATATGATGATTAATTATGTTCGGGATGTGGCCACACAACTTGGGCCTGAGAAAAAAGTGGCATAACAGACGTAATATAAGTGGCATAACGGACGTGAATCACGTAACAGACACAAGAGACATAAGATGCCGACGCGGCACGGGTTAATGAATAGTGCCATCAACATTTCTCGATCGGCGACGTTCCACATCTGTCTTCCATAACTTTGCCGGAACTCTCCTAAAGTTGAGTAAAATGCCGCTCCTCTCACGAAGCCTCCGCTGTAGGGAGCGCACGGGGAGGGGGGGAAGGGATTTTCGTGTAACTTGTGAGTCGGGCTTGCAGGCAATTTTTTATTCCATTAGGAGGATGCCAAAAAGTGACCCGACTTGCAGCATTGAGCAGTAAAAACCTGCAGCGTTTGCGATTCTACAGGTGGTCGACATGACCTATTTTAATACCTCGCCATCGCATGGCCTTTAATATTTAAGTGTAATTCCATTTATGCTATTTCTCTTCGGGTTTTTTTCCTTTGCTGTCGTTTACTAGGAAGCCATTTCAGCTCGGATCCTATGTAGTAGATACACGTGTTAACATTTTTAAAAATGAATTATTTGAATTGTAAAGTTGATTAACATTGTTGTGCAATGAGCAATTGTCGAACGTAACATTGGTTACAATCGTTTTATTATTACTTTAAAGAGGGCTTTTAATGTAATTAGCTTGCTCGGTTGGTGAGTGAAGATTCACGTGCCAGTTCAAGTGCCCTCTTGTTGGAGCAGTTGACAGAGATCTACCAAAAAAAAAGCCACAATTCAAACAGTTGCCAACGTGATGCGTGTGAATCGACGGTAATCTTGAATGTCACATGACGGACGTCTGAAAAAAAAAAGCTGACAATCCAGGCTTTGCGGAAAAGCCAGTAAAATGTTGCCGAAGTTACTATTTCATAGTAAATGTCAATAAAGCTGTGTTGATTACGTTGACGGTCGTCAAAAGAGAATCGCGACACTTAAAAATATAAATTTTCTAAATGTCACACTGAAGATGGTTTCAAGACCGTAGTATCGTCTTTAAACTGAGCGGCTTTGGTTTGAAGACGTGTAGAAGACACAACTGGATATCGCTTCGTGTGACAGTGAATGAACGGGCCCGGGATAACATTGAAGTTAACGACAGCGACGACGACGATGACTTCTCAAATAGGACAAAGCGATGACTTCAGACGTAGCTGGCCACCGTGCAGGCCCCGTAGACTCAGCCGGAGAGTGCTGGTGCAGCAAAGCTACACTCAAGGTCATTCCTCCCCTCGATGACATCGACCCCGTGACGGCAACGTGTGGCGAAACGTCGGCCGTTGCCGCTTCGGCGGGACATGCGTCAGACAACGGTCTCCAGGCCCGGGAGCTTGGGCTTGAGGATGCGCGGGGTTACGCCGCTGTTGAGGTCCTCCTCGAACTCCAGCAGCTGCCCCATGAAGTTGAGGTTGGGCGAGATGATGGGCCGCTTCCCCTTGACGAACTTGTAGGCGTCCGTCATGGTCATGCGCGTGTGCTTCATGAGGTACGCGATGACGATGGTGGCCGAGCGCGACACGCCGGCCTGGCAGTGCACCAGCAGGCCCTGGCCCCGGCGGTGAGCGTCCTCTGTGTGAGTGTGAGGGAGTGTGCATGTGTGTGTTCATGTGTGAGGGAGTGAGTATGTGTGTGAGTGTTCGTGTGTGAGTACGTATGTTCATGTGTGAGGGAGTGTGCATGTGTGTGAATGTGAGTGTTCGTGTGTGAGTATGTATGTGAGTGTGTGAGGGAGTGCGTGCATGTGTGTTCATGTGTGAGGGAGTGAGTATGTATGTGAATGTGAGTTTTCGTGTGTGAGTATGTATGTGAGTGTGTGGGAGTGCGTGCGTGTGTGTTCATGTGTGAGGGAGTGTGCATGTATGTGAATGTGAGTGTTCGTGTGTGAGTATGTATGTGAGTGTGTGAGGGAGTGCGTGTGTGTGTGTAAGTGTTCATGTGTGAGTGTGTATATATGTATGTGAATCTTTGCATGAGTGATCATGCATGAGTATGTGAGTGTTCGCGTGTGAGTGCGTGCGTTCGTGCATGAGTGAGTGTGAGTTCATGTGTGTGCGAGACAATTCGTGTGTACGCGAGTTGGTGTGTGTGTAAGCGTGTTTACACATATTTGTGTGCATGTGTGGTTAAGCATTGCCATATGTGTGAGCGTTCGTGCAAGCACACGCATGTAATGTGTGTGTGTTAACAGACGTCTTAGTGTGGGCAAGACAACGGGCGGTGTTGGAAAAAAATACAGAAGAACATGGCACACCATTAGATTCACGAATCCTCGAATGGAACAACGTAGCATATTAATCATGGCACAATGAAAAAAGACAAGTCACAATCACAATGCACTCGAAAAATTGCGATGATTTAAGTGCATAGATTGCATTTTTGTAAACAATAATATACTAGTTTAGTGGCCTGTCATATGACGGGTTAATAAAAATGTAATTAAATGAAAAAGTCGAATTGAAATTATTTAAGTACTAAAAATAACAATCACATTTGGTGTAAATTGCCTTCCATGAAAAACGAAGTGTTTTAAATCGCATGGAAATCCACGTAGTCTACCCAGCATTACACACAGCAGACAGTTTTCAGACGTTAGCAGACCTGTCAACCTATAAGGTTTACACACATACAGGGAAACTGAGTGTTTAGGTCCATACGGCGGACAGCCGTTTCAATACGAGCACATGTTTTGTCTATTTGTTTGTGTTTCTCCCTTGTGCTGGCAGTTTGTAGGATGAACGTTGAGATTTATAACAGCACGGAGTGACCCATAAAGTCTGAATTGGGCTGTAATAAGGTAGGCTCTGATAAGTACGTGAAACTTCGTGAGAATTTTTATTGTTTTATATTAATATTATTTTATCATTTCCCATCTACGTGACTTTACCGAAAGAACCAAGAATAAGGTAGGCACTGATAAGGGGTTGACTCAGGTATACGTTCGGCACAGATCACTAAAACTATATGTATAATCTTACATCTTTCAAAAGTACGTGATATTGGTAAAAATGTTTTCATATTCGTAACTTCGGAAACAATGTTACATTTTGTTGTTGTTTATAAATGTATCCTTCATCTCTCATTTATAAATAACCAAACACACTGAACCCAACGCAAGCCCACTTAACTTCCCTCCGCAGTCAATGTGATGTCCACAGTCAACACCGCAATCAGTAATTATTCCCTGATCCGTGCATCCCATGCAAAGGATACAGCATGTATCCAACTCCCGTTGGCTATGTACGGCGCAAAAGAAGTCCAACACACACGTGCATATGTACATACATCTCTATGCGTTTCAAGCGTGCATCCCTCCACGTTGCACAATTTCTTTCAATCTTTTTGCTCTATATTTTTTTGTCGTCAAGTGTCCGATGATGCGGATCGTAGATAGAGAGGCACCAGTAAACGCACCGCGAAACAGGGCGGCGACTTGCGCACGCACCTCAAGATGCACGTCGTATGCGTAGCGGCGACCGATCGGCCCATGCCGCCCCCCCCCCCCGAAAGGCAAACCGGGTTAATTTGCCCGCAAAGCTCGTTTCGACCCTCCGCAATTAACTTAAATTTATCTTGACGACAATACCGCTGGAGAGCTGCATCATCAAACACGTTCTATTAGAAGCGCGGGACACGGAAAGCCTCGGGTGGTTTATTGTCAATAATATAGCTGTGCGAATCGACTTTTCCAGGCCCATCGGTAAATAAACGACATTAACGAGGCTTACGTCTGCCAAGCGGACTCTTTACTCATTACATTTTGTATAACTTTTTAAAAATTATATATTATAAAAATATTTCCATTGGGTTATACTTTTGACATAGTTATCAGCAATTCTCTGATGGTCAATACCAGCTCCATTTATCCTCATGCTTTTAATTCTCAAACCTCATTCTTTATAGAAAATATATTCTCATACTTCTGTTAATTAGCCTTGGTGAGATCACGTCCCCTTGGCAGACTCTTTTCCGATACGTATTGTGTTATTTCCTTCGTGCAATATCAGTGGCGCTGTTCCATCGGCGCAATTGATTTTGGTAATTTATATATACACAGTACTTTTGTTTTTTAAGGCCTTTGTGCTGTACTGAAATAAGATTGTTATGGTTCTAATATCCTCTCATCGCTTGTGTAACGATGCCGACACACATCCTTGCCGTTATTGTGGACACGAACAGCTATTCCTAGGCCCTCGACTTTAGTTCTTCAGGTTCTAACTTTGTCTACTCTCCAACCCTCTCTTCCCCTTGTGCTTATCCCCTTTTATATCCCTCGAGCCCCCTTTCTGGAAGGTTCGCTCACCCCATTTCCCTCAGCCAATCCACATCCTCCTCTAACGGTTGTCAACTGTTCCCCCCCACTGACAGTCCACCCTCGTTTCCAGCCTTTTACGTTTGAATTTCTCTCCACCAATGATTTCAATTCTCTGTCCTTAGCCAATCCTCTTTGAGGCCTCCCTGCACCAATCAGAGGCTTTGACACACTTCCTAACTGTCCGTTTGCACGCGTACTATGTCGGGGAAGTGCTCCTTTGTTTTCGGCTTTACACGTGTAAACAAATTGTTTATTAAGATCACGAAGGACTTAATAATTAAGAATAAAGAGGCCAAATAAACAGAGTGGGGAAATAAAGGTTTATCTACCGTTTTGAGAATCAACTAGATTCAACTAGATTCTCAAAATGCCACATGAATATCAAATGTCACTCTGCCCTGGCTGTTGTAGATTATTCAAAAGCATTTGATTCAGGGAAAATTGATGCGGTCTTCCAAAGTATGTTGGTGATGTCCACCTCGAAATCAATGCTGTTTGGTGCTTCGGCTGTGATGATTAACACACATGGCTTGATTTCTATTATTGTGGTTGTGAAATAACAAATGAATTTGCTTTCACACATTTGAAATTGTGGTATTTATTTTGCAAGACTAACCATTGCGAAACCATTCAATAATCCTCCATGTCTTTTCGCAATGCCATCGTATTATTACTCAATGTATTTATTTACGGCTAATTTCATGCATGTATACATTGCACTGGATAACAACTGGCTCTCAATGCCCTACTTTTGGCAGTAATGTCACAAGAAGTAGGTAATTTTAGTGACAATTCCATATTCCAGATGAGTATAGAGCCATATAATAACAGCAGCGCCGGGTCTCTTTAACCGGCATTGGGTTTGCGAGCACTAACAGAATAAACCGCCAAACCTCTTAGGAAGGCCCTCTGCCATCACTGATGTTTGGCGCATCACCTTCATAAACATTGCTGCTGTTAGGCAGCACTGATGACAAAGGCTGGTGTAAGTTATTCTTCGACTCCTCATGAAAAGCCGTGGAATTTAACTTCCTACTGCGGATATGACAGAGGTCAGTTAGCAAACACCACAAACCGCTCACGAAATACCGGCCTCTTAAATGCACCAAGCATAATATAAACACATCTCTTTTGTTAGGCAGCACTGGTGACAAAGGCCGGTGGAATTTGTTCTCAGACTCCTAATGAAAAGCTATGGAATTTAACTTCCTACTGCGGATGTTACAGAGGTCAGGTAGCAAACGCCACAAACCGCTCACGAAATACGTGCCTCTTAAATGCACCACGCATAATATAAACACCCCGCGTGTACATGCGTTGGAATTTTATGAACCCCACGTAAAGCGGAACACGCGCGCTATTGGGCGGTTGCGAATGCAGGTAATTGTGTCGCGAATGCTTCTGAGGCAGGCTACCGCTGCAGATGTGTGCTTATCTGCGTAATGGCAGCAAGCGCTGAATCTCAGATGAAAACGGCGGCTTGGCTCTTGACATTTACTTTGTTTCTGTTCAGAAAATTATGACCGTAGGTAACGTTCCCCATTCTCCCTCCTCCCCGTTTTAAAATAACCATATTCAGTGCCAAATGTATTTATAAAATTTCACACATTCAGATTTAACGCTTAAATCGTTTTCTTTTTCTAAACTGGACTGCAGTTCACTTTTTCTCGGGATGCTTCAACACACTCAGTCAATGCATAATTCAAATGGAAAGTGCAGGGGGGAGAAGTTATAAAGACTGGGTAATTTCTCACACTGTCCTCCTGATAGCACGACATATCGATTTTCAAATGTTGTATTTTAAAGAATACAATCACAGATGCATCCTGCCATCGGCAAAAGAACTGCTACCGTGCTACTGCTTTGAGTTTTGAGACTTTTGTCGGGGAAAAACAGCCATTTCTGTGGCAAAGCAAGACACAACATTCGGATAAAACGTGATTTCGAACGAGGGCCCGAGAATGAAACTGAAGATCTCGGTGCTCTTGGTTCAGTTTTAAAAGACAAATCGACCCGGCGAGAGCGGTATTTATATGGCAATGTCACAATGCATATGAAAGAGCTGCATGTGGTTATTTTAGTTGAAGTAAAGTGAAGCCTTTGGCAACGTTTGAATTTAGTTTTTATTACATTTTATGACTATAGCTGTATGTTCATGGATTACGAAACAATTTTTGGCCAAAATAAATGTTACCCCACACAGTCGCCTTGGCGATAGGTACGAAGTCAAGGGAGTCGGGGAGTTGGGGGGTGGGGA